TATTATTTTGATATTTTTTTAATATTAATTTTACACTATTTATTTATGCTGAATTAATATTCCACTAAGTACCTTCTGTACTTCCGATCTGTACTTCCGATATCATTTTAGTATTCAACACGTACCACGTGGAGAATCCAACTTGGACATGGGCCAGAAATTTTCCATCTCAAAACTCAAAAACACACACGTCTCTTAAAAGCAATGCAATTACCAGTTGCTGATATCCAAGCAGATCTGTCTGGAAATTTGTAGAAAGTAACGAATTGCGCGAAAGTTCGCCCCGATGGAAAACAAAATTTTCCTCTCTTCTGCCTCTTCAATATTTTACCGCTGAATTTATCATCTATTTTATATATGATCGGGTTATTTAAATGTTTATGGTTTAAAATTTTTATTGTTATTTCAGAAAGCATTGAGAAAATACATGTAAAATAAAAAATCATGTACTTTCAAGTTCTAATTTTTAATTTTTAATTCTTGACTATAATTTATTGATAAATATATATGGGCTACATATGGGAAATTAAAAATATGACACGCACACACACGCAAAAATTAAGCTTGATTTAGACATTAGAGTTATCAATATAGTTATCAATAGTTCCAGCTATAGATACTCGCCACTAGATGGACGGAACGATTTTGACAGAGCGTTTTCCAGTAGTATAGTTCAGTGGTTCTTCTAGCAATATATACATATAATATATATATGTATATAAGTATTTTTTATTTATTTGTCGGTACTATACAATTTAATATTGTTTATTTGTACTTTAAAAATACAATTGTAGAATAATATAAGTGTTTGTAATAAAAATATTAAATATTAAAACATGTTGCATTATAAGTTACATTATAATGCATTATAAGTTACAAGTATATACAAATTGTATTTTTTTTTCCGTAGGACAATATTGTATTGTAAAACAACATCCACATAAGAAATTACACATATTTGCCATATTTTAATGCAACGTATTTTCGTCTGGGTATTTATCTGAAACAGCCGGGTGCAAGCATTTTATGCATCTACCATGTATTAACCAAAGGTAGCTTCAGCTAAAGAGCGAATCAGGACCGAAGGGCGCGATCCGTTCGAGGGGTTGATGCGTAAAGGAGGAATATACGGCTTACCAGCTAGCGACGCTAGTATCGATCAGCCGCACACGCGTGTGATTCAGCGGTGCGGCGTCTGGGTATTCGACGACGATTCCTCCATGATTATCTATCCAGTCTATATTTCCAATCTATATTTAGAAAAGGACTCAACCCCATAAAGAATATTTTGCTTGCAAATATATATTATGTCTTTTAAAAAATTTGAAATAGTCTAAAAATATATTTATATAAATAAAACAAAAAAAAATTTGGAAAACAAACCGTTTATAATTACTTTAATCAAAGTTTCTGTTGTAGAATAGCATTGTATCGAATATATAATATTTATAAGAGTGCACAAATTATTATCCTTTTCCAAAAATATTGCGTAGTATGTAACATATATTTAAAGATAAACAGGAAGTATGACGCATTTTTTATCGAATAAACTTATCTGTATTAAAAAAGAGATATGACAAATTTATTTCATTGAGGTTTTTCTTAATAAGTTTTATCAGAAAATATCTCAAGGTTGCTGTATTAAGTTAATCAATTTAAAATTACATTTAATATATTTAATTTAAAAAATGTATATTTCAAATTTAAATTGTGCAAATTTGAAAACTGTAAACTTTTATTCACGTTTTTTCTTGATTTTTAAATTAAACACATGATCTTATTTAACATTAAAGACAAAATTGTTTTATGTATATCATTATCCAGCAGTGATGTCAACCAGTCCTTTCATTTATTTATAATAAATCGTTAATTTATTTCTTCATTATCTTAATCAACAGTTAATCACTTTGTGAATATATCGAAAAATTGCATTACTATTAAAACAATCTGTGAAATATTTCATTTATTCTTGTATATTCCTATTTATTCATTCTTGTAAAAATTTATAATAAACGTACACATGTATACAAATTATATCAAAAATATGTTCTATTCTAATTTTTATTAGATAAGTAGAGTTTAGGTATCAATGTAAGTTTAGGTATTGATGCAAACGAGTAATATTGGCTGAGAGAGAGAGAGAGAGAGAGAGAGAGAGAGAAACGTTAATTTGACGGACAAAATATGTCCTTCATACTCCTCATTGTCAGTAAGAAATAATTTTATTGGTAAATGGCCGTCTATCATCCGTGACAGTTAGACATGTACGTGCGTTATTGAAAGATCATATGCGAATAATAGTCTACGTTCGCTATTGCACGTTTGAAAAATAAGAACGTATTGCAAACAAGCAGGAATGGAAATAGGCCAGACAGATGGAAACGACAGGATCATAAATTGTAATGAGGAAAGAAAAATACACCTAAGTTGCTGAGCTGCAATCTGCATAGATTATTGGGTTCAAAAGGTTTAACGCACCAAGACCGCCCAAGGCTACTGGTTACAGAAAAAGCGAATGTCGGAAAAGAGGAAAAAAGTGCGCCTCTAAACAAAAGGATATGCAACTTTTGAATATCCAGTGTAATTTTAAAAATAATAAAAGCGTGAGATTGTTCGCTGGAAGCGTTATGGATGCTTTTTTGGTTTGGCTATTTCAGTTATCATTTCATTTATGTAAAGCAACGAATGTCGCTCGATAAAGGAGATTAACGAGCAACGATCCTTGGTATATATTCAGAAACATCGTTCTTATATCATTCTGTCTGCTTCGAGACATTCAATTACAACGATGCTTTGTATAAATCGTACAGTGATGCATGTTCCGTGCATTTATTGCTAGACATGCTGTATACATTATAAATACTTTAAATCAGAATGCGTAAAGAAGGAAACTTAAAATGTAATATTTTTTAATATATATTATTAAAAAAACTAATGATATATATGAAATATATTAATAAAAAATTAAAAATGTAATTAATACATTTTAAAGTTAAATTATTCTAGATAATAATAAAATTTCCTTATATATTTTTTTTAGCATATCTCTCCCTTTAATAATATAATAATATTTTATATTTAATACATTTCAAATACATATCGAGAAATATAAGAACATTATTATTTCTTATCATTTACTCAAGTTAAGTATGATTGAAATATTATCTACAATTTATATATTAGATTGTCTTTTTATATTTAATTTTTAAAATGTCAATAGGAAGAAATAATATTTGAAAGAAGTGATAGTTGAAAAATGAACAAATGTTAACTAGACTTTATTAGCAATTTTGTACCTTTTTAAATCATTATTTGAAAAAACTAACATAAAAACTAACATAGAAAAATATAGAAAGAAATTTGAAATCTACGTAAATTGTTCATCCTAACATCATATTTTTTCCTGTCTCAAATACATTGTCATTTATTTCTGGTGTGATCATACACGCTTCAAATGGGTTGGGCATTTCTCTTGGAACTTGCAATTCCCAAATGTAATTTCTCGTGTTTTCAGGATATAAAAAGGACACTCTAAACGAATACGAGAAGTGTAGGTTTTTTCAAATAATGATTTAAGAAGGTAAAAAATTGCTAATAAAGTCTAATTAATATTTGTTCATTTTCCAACTATCACTTCTTTTAGATATTATTTCTTCCTATTTAAAAAATTTAATGTAATGTAAAAAGATAATATAATTAAAGATCGTTTCAATTTTTTTTGAAATTTTCTTTAAAAAGTCTCTGGTATGATATCATATTTTATTTTTGTTAAAACGACTACCATTCATAATGCACTGTATTATAACATAATTGCATATGCATATTTATATTTACACTTGTTATGCTATTTACGATTTTATCTGTCAATAATTTTGACGAGGCATTCTTTATTATTATAGCGAATGTTTTTAGTATTTAAAAAAATAGATAGAATTTCATTAGAAAAATTAACACATAACGCTCTGTTTTTTTTAAACTAAATAATGCTGTTTTCTTAATTTAAAAAAAAACATATAAAAATTTTTTTTAATTATACTTTGCTATACATCAATATATTTTAAAACTTTTAAGAATATGTTTCATGTTAAAAATACAATATACTAAAAAAACATAAATAGACATATTAAGAGACAATAAAAGTTTTATTTTTACTTTCCTACGATTGTAAATATTTAAAGAATATATATTTATATGCTCCCAATTCTACACATTTTATTATATTGTAAATTGTGTTTTACAAAAATTATTTTAAAAAATGTTTCTGTCATTATTTAAGATATAATTATTAATAAATTGTTAACTTCAACTATTTATTAAATCTTATTAAATGTCCAGTTCCATCTTGATACTTCTGTTAAGTTATCTAAACAGAGATAAAATCAATTAGATATAAAATCATTAAGAGATAAAATCAATATTAGTTTATCCTACTAAATAAGATATATTGTATTAGAAAGATGTATTCATCGATTATTTTTATTGTATAAGATTACAAAAAAAATCGATTAATAGTGGCAAATGTATATATAAGTAACTTGAGAACTTAAAGTTTAGAAAAATATTAATTCTATGACATGTTCATACTTCGTATCATTAGATAATTATTGTAAATATGTTTATTAAATAATAACAATATAATTTAAATACTTACATTTTTCCATTTTTCAATGACAATCATATTTTATTTTTCTATTCTCCATTCTTAGTTTCAATGATGATGATTATCATGATTATCATCTTCTTCCGGTTCTAGTTTGTAAATAGAAAAGAATGTTATGCACCAAATGCAAAAGAGCACAAATAGCAGCAACCATGATGTAGAATTGAATCTATTCCATCCGAAAATAATATGACGGACTGATAGAAATTGATTTTTATTGGATTTCGAGCAACAAATTGTTGCGTTACTCCGGTTATCGGGCATGATGTCAAACACTCTTAAGTTATTCGATGAATGACAAAATATTCAACGAGTATTCAGCGAATTGACTTACGTCTGTTTGTCTGATAAATGAAACACCAACATCAGTAATAAAATCAGTGAATGTGGCCTTTAATAAGTTAGATTAGATTAGATACTGCTTCTGGATAATCGTCAATTATCTGAGAATATAAAACGAAATGATTAAACTACAGGAATTAATAAGTAAAGAAATTAATTCGCAACTTGTTTGTATCTGAATATAAAAAAGTAATTTTTGATAAAGTTTGCTGTATGTAAGATTTATTTGATATGAGACGTGATATGATAATATTATACAATATTTCTTAAATAAATAAAAAATTAGATATACATACACTGAGAAGAATTACTTCTTCTTTTTATCTTATTGTTAGTTCAAGGCAAGCCTCGTAACAATAAAAAGAATTTATTAAATTTTAATAAATATTACTTTGAATATAGTCCTAGCGGAACATTTTTCTTTTACCTAGTAAACAATATTTAGATAAAGGTAAAATATTTAGATAAATGAAAAATAATTACATAAATCGAACTAATGATTTTTGTATCTAATAAATATAATTTTATATAATAAATATTTTATTTGGACTATTCAAAGAAATATTTATTGAAAATGCACAAATATAATAGAATTATATGTTATTAGCCTATTATTTTAATAGAATAAATAGTTATTAAAGCATCTTATATATGATTTAAAAATTATCAATTTTAATAATTTAAAAATGTATTTACGGAATACATTTTTAATGACAACAATCTGTATTGTCATTATTAGCTTTTGTCCATTGGAACAACCAGTATCCAAGAGCTGTTCCAGTTCCAATAGCAATGCAGAGCCAATAATTGTACGTCATAAAAATAAACATAAGGAAATAGCCAAGCACTATTTGAATCACATGCAGGAACGTTTGAAAGAAATGTACTCCGGAAAATAACAAGGCACTGTAATAATAAATAACGTCATAAAATTGTGAGCACTTTATGAAAACTAGTACTATTCACACATACTTTCTCGACTTCTTTTGCTGATTCTTCCTGAGAAATGTCGTGCTCACGAAAAGATACTCACTGAAATGTACGAGTATGTGATTTACGGCTAGCAAGTTTTTCGCGTTTTAATAAATATTTACTCACCGATAAGATTTTAATCCTTCATACAATGCAGTTAAAAGAATGACGCCAATTACGGAACCAATCATTCCTTGCACGTTATTTATACTCCATTTTTCAAATAGAATAGTTTCCGCGACACCGCCATGAAACGACATCTGTAAAAAGTATGCAACCATTGTAATTACACTAATTGTACTAATTAGGAATGCTACAGATGAGAATCTAAGGTACATCATCAGTACTTACTCCATGCATCTTGTCTTAAGATATTACTATCAGATACTTTCGTAAAAGACAACGCGCGCTTTATGATATCGTCGTGCGAATAAATTTTGGTCAGACCGTTATACAGCTGTCTCTCTATCAAAGATATCTTATCTCTTATACTTATTTATACTCGCGTAAGAAGTTTGAAGTTAGAATCAGGAAAACCTATTTAATAATGGATATTTTACCACTTTATTTATTTCTTTTAGAATTTGAAATAAATTACTTCAAATATATGTATATTATTATTAAATTTCAAAACAATTTATAAATTATTACTACATACATATATAAATAATTTATAATTATATATACAGGGTGTACGCAATTAAAACTTCGAGAGTGTAGACTGTATAGAGGCTCGATAAGAAAAACGTCTTGTAGAGATATGCTTGTTTTTGCTTAGATTTAGAGAAAATCACAAAAAAGACAAAACGTAGTTTTCGTTTTTGTACTTTTTTATTACTTATTCATGTTGTATTTATTTATTTGCTTAATGTAGATATTGTTTAACATATTGGTCTCTTGCAGAAATGCAAGCATACAGTCTGTCTAGTAAGAGCGTAGCAAGGCTTACCCACAGTCGAGTAAAGATATTATCTGAATTTTTGTTTTCGCCGATAGGTGACACCTTTGTGCTACATGAATTATAAGCAAAGTAAGCAGCTCCGATTCGATTTCTCAATTGTTCTCTTGAGTTGATTGACAATCTTTCTGCCTTAGAACCCTCTACACAAAGAAGTCCAGTGGTGTCAGATCAGTTGATCAGGAAGCCAAAACACTACTCCTTTACGTTCAAGAACAATGCAACTACGTTTTGTCATTTTTGCGATTTTCTCCAAAATGAGTAGTAAAAACGATTATATTTCTACAGAAAATTTTTTTCTTATCTTAGTTTATCGATCCTCTTACACACTCTCGAAGTTTTGACATTTAATTTCCTGACATCTGTGTAATTATAATAATAAAAAATAAAAATCTCTTGAGAAAAAGGAAGAAAGAAATAAAATTAAGTTATATTTTTTAAATTGTTCACAAATTATATTTCAATTTACAGAGATTGTTTCTGTAGCGCATATAAGGTTGTTTACTTTATAGAACGTCTAATAATAGCGCATTATATAACCAATATTATTGCTTTTTTTTACACAAAAGATAGATTGTAGCATCTCTCAGAAGAAATCGTAAAAGTTTCATATATCAGCAAAAGTCAAATATTTTTTTGCTGATATAAAATATTTTATATCAGCTATCCTGCATCTTGTGTCTTAAAATGTATACGATGTCACCAGCTGTGTACTATAGTTACTAGCTCAAAGAAAATAGATAAAAACGAAGATACTAAGTATCTGTGATTTGTGTTTCATTAAGCTCAAACAGCACTAAAGATATTTAATATATAAAATATAGTTAATAGTGTGCGACAGAAATATTGTATAAATTATCTTACGAAAAGACGCGAATCTAAAGATCTTAGAATAAGAGCCAAAAGTTATATGAAAATTACACATATTGGAACATTTTTTATATACCTTTAAATATCTTTAAAGATTGTTGAAGATATGCAATTTAAACTAATAAATAAAAGGATCAATTAATATAAAAATTAATAAAGCAAGATAAAGGATTACGAGTCAAGTAGTGCTTAGTTATCCCTTTATCTTGTTTTTTAATATGCAATTTAATTCTAGTAATAGTAAGTTTGAATTTAATTATAGATTCCTAACATTGCTATCAATACTTTTATAAAGTCCCATTTAAATTTTTGATTGAATTGCAATCGTATGCCAAATCTACATTAGTATCGCTCGTTTATTCTGCATATTAGTGCAGTATAATCGAAATCAACTTGCAAAAGGTTTGTCGCGACAATGATTAATATAATATCACAATCGTCAGCGAACCAAATTCTGGTTCACAATTGTGAAAGGGCCAAAGAGTCCTGGATGTTAAGTAAATCGATTTCTCTCGTTTCTCTCCCTCTTTCTCGCCAACTTTGTCCCCCATTCGGCATACGCCGCCACCACTACTACCCTTGCTGCCCGACGATCAACCAAGATGCCTAGCCTGCGTGAACGAGACGGGCGCAACCTGTAGCTGATCCTGACCGGCGCGCCTCCCTCCGGAAATTCAGCCACGCTCTCAATTCTCAAAGCGCTTCTACTCAGTGCCATTCTTACCGTGCGGCTGTTTGTATCGTCAGCCTTTTGCCGAGGAAAACCCCGGCCCGCTTTGCACGACCTGCGGATTGTCGTCGGCGAATACGGCAATGAGCGTTGGATGCAGGTATATCGTTGATGCAACGAGGGACAAATCGCGCACGGAGCGCCGCGACGCAACCCTTCGGGGTGACCATGAGCGCGATGCCGGCTTACCGAGCTGTCGGGGTGAACCTTTAGCTCTGACGATGCGACGATTGTAAGCTTAACGCATTATCCATGTGCATATTACGAATGGAGGTGCTAAAAATGTGCAGACGCTATCGAGAAAGAAGAGAACAGCTGTAACCACAAGTGAATGAAAACATTGTTGATAAAAGATGCACAATTAACGACTGTCTGTGATTAGCGACCGACGACAAAGGTTACTCTTTTAAGAAACGAATGCCGAATATATTACCGAGCGTTGAGTGTGATCAGAGAAATGTGAGTACTTCCATTTTCTGTAGTTTAAGTCCAATCTATGACATTTTATTACAATTTCATGTGATAAATATAAAATACGCAATGTTATGTACATTCAATAATTATATAGAGAAATAATTTATTAATAAAAATAAAACGTTATCGTAAACTCCAAAAATTGCTTGTATTGCTCCCTTATTCATATTAGATATCAGCATTCCGCTCATTAGCATTTCCATTCAACTGTATCTCTTGTTATATGGTCGAGTAGGGTTAATGTTCTGTCACAAGGTGTTCTTTATATACGCATGTCTTCAGTACATATATACACATGTATATGATTGTATATTTGTGTACGCGACATCTAATAAAATTGAAATAAAAATTTCAATTTTATTGGATGTTGCGTACGCAAAAATTGAAATTAAAATTCAATTTGGCATTCATTAATTTTTTTCAAACTATTTTATTTAAAAATATAATTAATTTTCTTTTATTTTTTTAAGTATTATGTAATAGTACAAGAAACGTAAAAATGTTTAATTTATTTAATCTAACGTTGCAGTAATTTTAGTTTAGATTTTCAGTTTTAAATTAAAAAATTAAAAGAGATGTACATATAAAAGTAATAGAAAAAAATCATCAATGAAACGTAATGCTTCGCTAAATGTATTTTTTTCTATGATAATTAATTTTTTTTATAATAAAGAAGTTATATAATATTAAACAATGCGTTATTCTAGATACAAAAATTTTTTATCAAACGATCGCGTGCAAGTCGAATAAAAGTTATTATTATTCTGTGCGAAAATATCGTTCCGAAAAGTCGACGTAAGTTGGAGTATAATTGCTTTGTATAAACCTTGAACAGTGATACGTATCTCCGTACATCTCCATTTATGATAATAATTGACAATTTCAAATACTTCATTTGCATACATATCCGCGCAAACAAACGTTATAATTTTATTTTAACAAGCGTTCTATGTTTTTTTATCATTATGCTATTAAATGCTAAGCATGTAAATATTTAATATAAATATTTAATGCTGTAGATTATGGAAACGATGTTATGTTTTGATATTTGTGCAAAGAAAAACACAGTCAATAAATGAACGAAAATTGTTCTAATACAATAAAAATTATACACAGCAAGATATATACATACAAACGTATACTATTATTTAATAGCGTTACGTGGAAAAAATTTCAGGTTACAAAGAAGCACTTTATAAAATGTTTTATTGTAAATATTGTTTTTATTATATACTTCTGGGTCTTTTATTACAAATAGATATACATTCTGAAAGTATTGATCCAACAGTAAAGCTTGACGAGAATAACTCTTACTACCCCTATTAATATCTTTTACGAACCACCACCTTATTACACATAAATGAAAAAATTATAATACATAATTTTTAATTATATATTGCAGATATAAATTGATTGGACGTCCAGCAATTTTGGCAAAGAAACACATATCGTCATATTTAAAGTTAATCAACGACATGGAATATAAAATAGAAGACTGATTAATTGCTGTTCATAATTTATAAAAGTACGTCTCGTCATGAACTTCTTTAACTTGTAATTATTCAGCCTCGCATTATACAAAGACACATATGTTCGATTCATAGAAAAAAGATAAAACCTTTGAATTAGAAGCAACGTTAGGAGTGTCTATCTCTACTTTGAATCAACACATCATATACGAAGAAAATAGTGACACGCTATTAATTTTTTATTAATTGATGTGCACTACCTCGAAATAAACAATTTGATCACAGATCACATTTATCAACCATTTTTATACAAAACCTTTTACTGCGATCAAATAAAACTGAATGTTTATGTGCAACATATCGTAATATCGGGACCAATGCGAATGCCGTCGACATAAAATATTCGTGTCTGCAACGTACGGATGTACTATGTCGGCGTAGAAACTTAACTGAAACTACCAAAAGAATAGCTCGATATAATTTTCGACATGAACATTACGTCCAGTATAGGAAAAGGGCGATCGATACTATCATGAGATGTCGTGAGAATGTCTGAAGATGGCAGATGGTCTATGCTCCGATATTTTTCGAGTGATATAAAGTAGCAATAATTAGCAGAACGTCAATCAGCAACAAATACGAAGTATGTCATTTGACAAACAAAGTACTTTAGAAACAAAGAAGAAAGTTTCTTCCGCTCGAAACTCCGACTTTGCCGAATAAAAAATCGGCCGGAGTAGCAGAGAAAGTAGAGAAGCGAGAATAAAATGCCGAAAGGAAGTCCAGGAAAGGATAGCAGCGAGCATATTCAATTGGAGCCTTTGTCTAGGACGCCTAAGCGACATGAATCTACAGACCCTGCGGAAATAGACGCGAAGGCACCGTTAAGACATGCCACGAGGAAAACGTGCGATTCGGGTATGTGTAACATTTTATTATGGATTTATTTCTTATTCCTGCACTAGACTGCACCAGAATTCTTTTTCTTGCTTTCACCAAATATCGTACACGTTTCAAAAGTGTATACCTACTACTTCAGCTATAGACAGTAGACCTTTATACTTTATTAAATTTCTATTTCACGCTGCAAAGAGTATGTGCTAAATATATTTATGAAAATTGCATAATGCAAAAACATAAAATATAATATAATCGATAAAAAGGTATTTCAGATGAAAAGGTAAAAAATGTACAATAAATTTTATTGATTGCCTCCGTGGTTTTTGCGAGAATTATTTCAAGTAGAAAGCAATGTGCGCGCGTCTTCATTAATTATACAGAATTTAGATCGTAACGATCCGCACGATATATTTGGAGTATTTGCTCAAATTGTGTTTTGCTCCGATAACTCTAGTGATTTTATGTTATTCAAATTTAATAAACCCCCCATCTTAACGTGAATACTGCTTATGTAGATGGTTGAGATAGCGCTCTCCCTCGATGCTCGCGTGACCACATATATAGGTTGGCATACATTTAAAATTTGCAAATTGCTGCCCTCCGTGACTTGCTCACGATACAAATCTTACTTAGGAAAATCTAAAGATAGGTGTAGCCTTATACCGAAGAAAGCTTTTCGAATTTACGATCTTCGCAGTAGTTTAATACATCTCAATTCTTGTCTTATTTATTACGTCCCCGCGTGTTCAGCGGACTGATTACCGGAGGACCAACCACACTAATAATCAAAAGCGTACGCAAGATTTCAGTTGGGGGGGAGGAACAAAATTCTATTTTTACACAAGATTTATTGAAACAGACCTACATTAACCCTTTATCCGTGTTCATTTCATATATAGACTCGACATAAAATATTTATTAAAAACTTGTATACTTTTCCATATTCTTTTATTTATTAAATAAAATTAATTATTAATTATTTGAAAGGTATACGCGCATATATTATAAAATAATTATTAAATAATTTATGTGTGATCTTTTTGTTGATAATACTGTAATACCACAAGAAGTTTAAAAACGCCTGGGTCAAAAAAGACCCCCGAACACGGGTAGAGGGTTAAAACCAATCTTCGAGGTTCTCTTCAGCAAACTTTCCTAATACTTGTTCACCTTTTCATGCTGACACTTGACGCTCATTTTCAACATCAAAGTAAATCACATGATAGATATTGACAAATATCAAGCGTCAATTGTGATCACTGACAAGTAAACCTACGGAAGTGTCACTCATCGATTTTAATAAAACTTTGCAAATTTGTAGAACTATGAAAAATTTTTGACACGTATTTTTTTTTATCGGCAAAGGTCCACTCTGAAAGGTGAAAACTACCCCTTGAAGGAAAAGGGTAGATTTAACGTATTAGGTAAAATAAATTGAAAATTTTAAAAAGTAATATGTGCTAAGAGGTTTTTGGGGTCGCTGAATCCCGCTTGATTAAATCTTATGTCAAAGGTATAAAATTCAAAATGTTAAATCTATCTCTTACCTTTAAGGGGTAGTTTCCACCCTTCAGAGTGGACCTTTGCCGATAAAAAAATATACGTGTCAAATATTTTTCCGTAGGTTTACTTGTGAGTGCAAACTTTTTCGGAAATCGACATGTTGGATTGATTACTGCTTATACGAGTACGTTATGGCCTTACTCTCTACTGTGATTGGACCTTATTATTCCGTCTGCAATGTCTTATAATCAGATTAATATCTTAAATATTAATATGGCTTTGCTAAAATTTAGTAGGGGCAACTGCCTCCCCTGCTTCCCTCTGCGTACGCTCTTGCTAATAGTACGTATTTTGAAACTAAATCGACCGGAAAAAGGATCGACGTTTATAACACCAGCCAATTCTTTCGGGACACGTAACTACCACGAACGTATTGCAGTCGGAAAGCGCATGAATGTTTCAATGCGTTTCGCCCAGCGTCGGAACTCGTTTGACCAGATGCGACATATATTTTAAAGTAACACGAGATTCACTGCGACCACAAAATACTAAATAACTCATATTATACAACGTTTTTTGTAGTCGAAGAAGTCTCGCTGGAACAACGTAGAAAAACAGAAAGGGTCATAAGTTCAAAAGTTCAGTCATTTATAGACGTTCCTTTTCTATCCATATTCATCAATGTCAAAATTAGTCTGTATCTTAACTTTATCGATTCGCAGATATTTTTGCTAATGTTATACTCTTAGAAATGTGATTTATTAAAGATTTACAAAAGAAGCATAATTTTATCTAACATTCAGCAAATATTCTTGTTTGTGTCTTTCTTTAAAATGTGATTAATTTTATGTCAATAGAAATCATATATCTTTATTGTGCTTTTACGTGTCTTTACTCAACCATGTCTTCTCTAAAATAACATTAAACATTCTTTTAATATTTGATTTTTAGTTTCTGCTGTGTGTGCGTGATTAAATTGTGCAAAAAAACTTCCATTATCAATAGAAGCAGAATGTTACTTCATAAATGACCGTAATATGATTGTCAGAGGGGTGCATAAAGAAAAGAAAATCGATATGGACCTCTCGAACAAACTGATCCATTCGCGATTCGCCAACAATTCTGATCTCAAAAAGGTCATGGGTGTATCTCATGTGGAATATAATACAATATTATATACATTTGCTTTATATATATATATATTGTGAAAACAGTCCTATATATAATTCTATTATCTATCGTAGTTTAATACAAAAAATGAGAGAAATTAATTAAAATTTTATATATATATATATACAACATCAATTTATTAAATATAATTATACAATATTTGAATACATAATAAGATCCAAATAAAAAATAATTTGTTATTTTGAAATTATAAATTAATAGTTATTTATTATAAATGATTTAAAGTCGAGAAGTGTAATAAAATATTGTACGTAATTTAAATGAAGATTCTCACAGAATTGTCAAAATTTGATTATATGTATGACATAAATACATGTAAATTTTTTTAAATCTTGACAAAAAGTATATAAAAAAGATGCCTCCGCGGAGTGAAAAATTTTCTTTAATACATTATATAATAAAATCAAGTAACTATAAATCATTCAAAACTCTTATATTAACTAAAAGTGACAATGAAAAGAAATAATAGATATAATAAACCTTTTTGTTGCTTTTATAAAATTAAAACAACAATATTCGATAAACTAAATATTTACAATTTAAAAAAATGCTACATAAAGACGTTCTAGAATCGGACCAAATTTTATCTATCAACCAAAACGAAATAGAAAGCCATAAAGCCCTTGCATTGTCTGGTTGACTGCTTCCGCAACTGAGACCAATATCACGATGGGCCACCAACGAAGGGGTTGCAAAGCATAGATCAGGGATGGCGCCACCGTAATGCTAACCACCCCAACTCACGAGGACCGGCAAAACCACCCCCGCAAAGCAGTCCACCACCCACGGGGTTTGGAAAGCCGCCATTTCTGCCTAACTCCGCAGTAGCTATATCCCACGCTTTTAATGCCAATGAAACATCAAGGAATGCGCGCTATAGACTCGCTGACGGTGTTGGGATACTCGACTTAGATTTTATAAGTCCGCGGTTTTTTGCGTACTGACAGTATTGGTTCTTTACAGTAGAGTTGATTGCGGTCGTGCTGCTTTCGCTGGTGTTGCATAAAGTCCGAGTCCCGGTTTGTGCTCGGTGCGTCCGTGTTCCGCACGAGTCAGCGCGTTTACACCGAATGAGTGACGTCGGTCGTTCGCGCGTCACTACTCGCATTTGATTCCTGGTGTTGCTCACTGAATTCCACGCGTCATCTCAAAAGCGTGCTATCGATAAAGCATTAAGATTACTGATTGAGGTTTACGCCTAAAAAAAGCCTAAAAAAAGGCTCAACTTAATTCGATCACATTGTTGCAATTGCGTGTAGCAAATGATAGACAAACTTGAGCCGATAGTAACTGATACGGCTCAAATAACCGTGGTGGCACACGTGAACCGGCTTCACGGAGAATTAAATTCCAAACGCCATCTATTAAAATCGAAATTTTTCCTCGTTGAAGCTTCAATTTTAAGACAACGGTACAGTGGCGAAAGCTCGTTCGAAGGAAAAACTACGAGGCGACGATCAAGCGTCCGCGCAAATACTGGCTGAACAGAGAGAGCCGCTCATAAAAGTCTCCTATGCCTCAAAAGACGGTCAGGTAAAAGAACTCGTTCATCGAAGACCACCACCAAATCAGTTCGCGATGAGCGAGCAGGATGTGGACGATGTTGCTTTTCTGACAGGTGAGATCTCCCTATTGGGTGGCTCGTTGGGGAGTAGAACATTATGCGATCGCGTGCTTCTGACTCTTTCTCTGGTACATGTATACTATACCTAGATTATTTTCTATAAGAACTTGGTCAGATGGCCCACTTATAGTTCTTCACGAGCTGCGAATAGACTATAAAGCACGTGAGTGCAATCAATAAAACGAAAGCTTCCTCTGATCTTTCGAATTACAGCGTGCACGCTTCGTTTTCATCCACCCACGTTGTGATACTTTGTATCGCAATTATACACAGCTTTTATTGTTAAGATCTCTATTAACATCAGAAATAGATACGTATGACGAGTTGATAATTTTGTTCAATGATTTCATTGCACACATGTATTTATATGTATACGCGATTGTGTAAGAAAATATATTTGCAAAAATATTATACGCGTTATAAATGTCATATAATTTATACGAATTGTTTATTTTCAAGACTTATAGATTATAGATTTATTTTATTGTTATTTAAATTATAAATTCCAATAAAAACCGAATGGAATAAAGCTAATGCATTAACACTACGTAAAAATCTCTAAGACAAATCTTAATTAAAAAAAATTTTTTTGTATAAAATTCCTTTCACAGTTTAAGAATATTAACTACAAAAGTAATAAATTAAAATTATTCATGTTTAAACAAATAAAATAATTTTAAAGAGATTATAAAATTTTAAGGTAATTAAAAGATACATAATTTGTTCATTAAAAATGTTACAATTTCAACATCAAATTAAAAAAGATGTATCAAATCTAAATATTATAAAAATAAATATGCTTTTTTACTGTTTTAAATAGAATTAAAGATTTATACCTATAAGATTTACTGGCGTATATATAGGTTTATAGTTTAATTTAAAAGTATTTTAAAAATTAAAAATATTAACATTCGAATTGCTAAAAATGTTTTACTTTATTTTTTGTATGAGTTAAGTGCACTAGTTATTCTGCATAGTCGTGCAGTAATGCAAAATCTAGTTCAAGAGCTTAATCGTGAGGAGAACAAATGTTTCATTATACATGCATCAAAGTATTAAATTAATAACGATGAATATAATTTATAAATTAAATTTAGTTAAATTATACGCAAATAGTATCTTTTATGTACATTTGTAAGTAATTAAATTATTTTTTTATATGTATATACAAAATAATTATAATTTGGAAATTTATTTTTAAAATAATTTATCTCTTTATTTTGTAATTATACTAACTTCTTATTTAGATTTATTGCACATGTGAAAACAAAATGAAGCTGGTAAAGAAAGAAATTTTAGATTATATATTAATTGCTATGAAATAAAATTTGACGTACCTGTAATTAATTATAGTTAATTATACTAAATTAATTATATAAATACAAAGATAACGCTTGTTATATTTAAAAAAAACAACGATGATATTAAAATATGGTATTAAAAACAAGCAATAAAATAAAAGATGACAATATCTATCATCAATATCAATATCTATCATGAGATCTTATTTTTAAATTTATAGAATAATTTGATAAATATTGTCATCTTTTATTTGTTGTTTGTTTTTAATACCGTATTTTAATATCATCATTTGTTGTTTTTTAAATTAATTATGTTAATTAACTGTAAGTTGTATATACGCAATTATAATTTCAGTGTAATTTATACACTGTAATTACACGATCTTGGAGCAAATTTCTTTCTACAGGGTATTCCTTGTTTCAGGAGATAGCAGCGCAGGATTGCACAGACGTAACTTTTATGAGCGCGCAAATGAAGTCGTTAGATGTTCTGAGAGAAAGACTTACTGTGTGCTTTGTATTTGTTGCATGGTACTGCTTGTTACATCACTTATCATCGCCTTGGCGCCTTTACGAACTGGTATTTAAATCTCTATTTTGAGCGAGCGTCATTATTCTTAAAAGTCACAATATTATATCGCACACATTCAGACATCATAAATTTAATTTTTGCATAAAGATCACATTTTTATATTTATTTTTTATTTTCAAATACATATTATTTTTCTTTTTAGGCTGTGTTTGTTCTGAAAAAGACTCGAGTACAATTATGGATGACGAAAAGGATGCCGTACCTCGGATGGAGAATGGAGAGGTACGCACATTTAAATACATGTCAAGATATTAATATAGTTAATATAATATTTAAGACAAAAAATTATATTTATCTTGTTTACTTTTGAAAAATTTTTCCATTTAATTGATCAACAATGAGTCAATAAACTAGATATTAAATTTGATATTGAATTTAATAAATATAAAAGTAGATATTTATTGTCATAATTATATCTACTGATTCATTTTTTATTATCCTGTATTGTGTGCATATATATAGCCTTACTTTGATACTCTAAAGCAAATTTCAAATTTCTATTTTTTGTAGATTTTTAATTTTATGATATTAAAAATATCATAAAATTAAAGTTCGTTACGAATCCGTACTTAAAAATTGAAAGATCGAAGTAGCTGATCTAATATGGCGGACGGAAATGTATCGGAAATCCTAAAAATTTTTCAATTTTGGTGAAATTTGGTATATTGGTGATTTAGGGGACGATCGTTACGAATCTTTAGTCAAAAATTGAAAGTTCGAAATAGTTGATCCAATATGGCGGACGGAAATGTTACTGAAATCCTTAAGATTCTTCGATTTTATTGAAATTTGGTTACAGGTGGTTTTTGGGGACGTTCGTTACGAATCCGTATTTAAAAATTGAAAGTTCAAAATGGCGTTTTGATTCAGTCTTCTAAAATCTGTTTTTGTTAATCTGGCGGATGGAATATAAGGGGGATTTTGGTTTTAGGTGTGTTTTTGAAGTAGAATTTAAATTAGCAAAAAAAAGCCCTTCAAGAATATGTAGTTGATTTTTCACTTGCTGCTATTTTTCTTTGAAAAATTGATGGACGTGCCAACTTTAGTCTTAAGTCAGCACAGCCACACTGTGGATCGAATCCTTCGACGTAAATGATGAGAAAAAAAAATCGGATTCTGGATATTCTTAGAGCAAATAATTCTAAAAACATTTTGAGACCAAAATGATCCCGGCAATTGATTGCTTTAATGTACTTTACTCTTGTACGCGACCCAGCACAGCCACACTGTGGGTTGAATTTTTCGACGTAAACGATGAGCAAAATATCGGATTCTGGATATTCTTAGAGCAAATAATTCTAAAAACATTTTGAGACCAAAATGATCCCGGCAATTGATTGCTTTAATGTACTTTACTCTTGTACGCGACCCAGCACAGCCACACTGTGGGTCGAATTTTTCGACGTAAACGATGAGCAAAATGTCGGATTCTGGATATTCTTAGAGCAAATAATTCTAGATACATTTTGAGACCAAAATGATCCCGGCAATTGATTGCTTTAATGTACTTTACTCTTGTACGCGAGTCAGCACAGCCATACTGTGGGTCGAATTTTTCGACGTAAACGATGAGCAAAAAATTCGGATTGTGAACATTCTTAGAGCAAATAATTCTAGAAACATTTTGAGATCAAAATGATCCCGTCAATTAATTGCTTTAATGTACTTTACTCTTGTACGCGAACCTTTTTTCATGTTTAAAGTAACTTTTATTGCGTACACAAAGTTCAAAATATTTTTTTTTCTTTATAACAAAGGTATAATGCATTATCATATGTTTTAATGATCTGTGTTGATGTTTTTTATATTTGAGTTGATTTTTATCTAGGTTTTTATTTAAAAAAAATTATATGAACCATAAAATACCATTAAGGAAGAATAGTAACATCGATGCCTGATGTCAGTTCTATCTAACGTTACAATTGTCCCCGTACTTACTGATTTTATTTTAGTATTGTTTTGTTGTTCCTTCATATTTTAATTTTATACTTATTAGAGGAAAAGTATTTTTTTCGTTTTGTCCTTTTCATAAATTTTATTATCATTAAATATAAAGCAGTACCTACATATAATAAATACATATGAACAATAATATACAATAAATGTTTATAATTATATATAAAGGTTTATTAATAAACCCAATAAAATAATCATTATTTTATTTATGTGATATAATTGTCCCTCTTCTACTGTTACAATGGTCCCGGGAGTTGGGACGATTGTAACAATATTCCTCATAGTCTTTAAACGAACCTAACCTTTTTTTAGTTACATTGAAAAATTGAATCAAAGAAAATTTTGTAGCTAAATAAATTCTACATCTAAAAGAATATACTTTTTTAATGTAAATATTATATTTTAACTATTATAACACTTTAAAGTCAAAATGTTACTTTTGTTTCCGGTCTCCCCTATATATTATAGGAATGTATTATTCATGTAGAGGGAAGGAATGGGATATAATTCATGAAAAATTTGCAAATTCTTATAAATAAGACGTAAAATGGCATAATAACGTATAAAATGTGTTTACAAAGTTTTGCACACAGTACAGGATAATAAAATATTAATCAGTGAATATAATTATAGCAATAAATATATATTTTTATACTTATTGAATTCAATATCGAATAATAATAAATTTTACAGATATTTCCATGGGATAACATAAGATTACCTGCCTTCGCACATCCTACTAGGTACAATATTACCATGCATCCAAATCTTACCACCTTAGAATTTAGAGGTAAATTAAAAAAGTTTTGTGTTTAAATAAAGAAATGTATCATTATTTGTACATAATAAATTTATGATTTGTTTTCATTTGTAGGACGAGTCACAATCGAATTCTATGTTGATGAAGAGTCCAAATTTATCGTCTTCCATAGTAAGAACTTGACAATAAAGGAACAAGTAAGTAACATTACGATCACATGTACAATACAATATCAGTCTTTGTTTAATTTTCGAGAGTTGACTTTTAGATAGTCAAAGAGGGTCAAGAAGAGCTGAAAATCGCGAAGTTACTCGAGTATCCAAAGCGCGAGCAGTTATATCTAGAATTAGAAGACTTATCGTTTCGAAAAAAGAACAATTACACGCTATTCTTGAGTTTTAATTCAACATTAAACTCTACTGAACTTAAAGGATTTTATTTTAGCAGTTATATCACTCCTGAAGGAGATTACAGGTAACTTCAAAATTATGATTATTCCCTTTATAACAGGTGAATACTTTATCGTTACTTGAATAAGACTGAGCTTTTCAATTTTTTCTTTAATTTTTAGATATTTAGCTACAACTCGTTTCGAACCGACATACGCGCGCATGGCCTTTCCTTGTTTCGATGAACCACAATTTAAAGCTAAATTTAAGATATCAATATATAGAGACAGATTTCATATTGCGTTATGTAATATGCCCGCTATAAATACCGAGGAGGCCGGATTTTACTTGGGTACAAATCTCGTAAGTACATTAGTAAGTAAATACAAATATATTACTTATTTAATTTGATGTGACAGCTACACGATTAACATCTCTAAAGTATCACCATGTTTTTACTTGCCGATCGTAAGCATGACAGATCAGATCACATTATTGCAATTATGGTATTATCTGTGAATGACCACATTTACATCAACCTAGTTCAGGATAATGTTGCTTTTCAGCTACGCGACGATTTTCAAGAATCAGTAGACATGTCAACGTATTTGGTGGCTTTTGTGGTATGCGATTTTAAAAGAGTTTATGAATTAACAAAGAGAAATACGTCTGTAAGTGTGTATGCCTCATCTCATATGCTTCCACATATGAAATATGCCATGACCACTGCTGCTCGTATTATGGATTACTTTGAATCTTTCTTTGGCATACCTTATCCTTTGCCAAAGCAAGGTACGCTTCTCAAACAGAATATGAATAAAACATATAATATGTACTTATGAAAAGATTGTTAATACTTTGTTTTAATATACAATGTTTTATAATATATGTTTCTTTTTGTGCTTAGATATAATAGCAATTCCTGATTTTGAGCCGATTGCTATGGAAAATTGGGGCCTAATTACTATTCGAGAATCGTTTTTAATGTATGATCCACAAGAAACACCTACTGAAATACAAGAATACATAGCCGTTATTATGGCTCACGAATTGGCTCATCAATGGTTCGGCAATCTCGTGACAATGAAATGGTGGAATGATCTGTGGCTGAATGAAGGTGCTGCAACGTTCTTTGAATATAAAGGCGTGAATCATATTTTCCCCGAATGGAGTATGATGGATTTGTTCATATTACACAAAACGCAACGAGCACTCGAACTCGATGCACTAGCCAACAGTCACCCTGTAAGTGTATCCGTCGAAAACCCCATTGAGATAGAAAGCATATTCGATACGGTTAGCTATTACAAAGGTGCTTCCGTCCTCTATATGTTGGAAGTAGTTTTATGCGCGTGTGCTTTTCAAGGCGGACTAAATGATTATCTAAATATGCACGCATATGGAAATACGGAGACCAATGATTTGTGGGAGGTTCTTACAAAACATTCTAAAAATTCATCTACTAGCACAGAACTCGATGTGAAAGTAAGTGCGATAAGTATAAGATATAAGAATAATTATTTTGCGCATTTTTTGCTGCACGTATTTAATATAATTGAAACATATTGGCAGACTATAATGAACACTTGGATCCAACAAATGGGCTTCCCACTTGTTACCATCATCCGTGAAGACAATATTATCACAGCGACCCAAAAAAGATTCCTTGCTTCACCTCGAGAAGGAGTAAATACTTCGCATCCCAAATCATCCTTTGACTACAAGTGGTACATCCCGTTACACTGTTATACAGATCAGGATGACTCCGCAGAATCTTATATGGAAGTGTGGATGAATATGACCAATGGTAACAATTATATTAAAATTTATTTAATTAGATTTCGCTCGTTTTTTTGCAATGCAAAGTATAAAGAAAAAACTGTCTAAATTGAGCGGTGATAAGATTTTTTTATGTAATAAATTTTTTATGCAATAAATTTCTAGTTTACAATGTTAATACAACATAAAAATAAAAAATAAATATAAAAATAAATATAAAATAATATAAATATAATATCGAACGTTTTTTTAGAACTTACAGGTCCTTCTTCAGCGATTCTTATAGATGTTACAATGTCATAGAGATAAACGCGTAATTGTACTACATCATGTCGCTTCGACCGTAAGATTACGCGTTTATCTCTATGACATTGTAACATCTATAAGAATCGCTGAAGAAAGACCTGTGAGTTCCAAAAGAACATTTGATATTATATTTATATATTATTTTATAAACTATCTCAACAGACCAACATTTTTTATTTAATATTATTATTATTATTGTTTAATATTAATATTATTATTAGATAAAAAGGTTTAAATTTTTGTATTATATATGTCAATCACCACGCGTAAGAACGTATGTGTGGCGCCACTTGTTAGAAAAATCCGCATTTCATAGATATCCACCTAATACATGCACATACATTTATATACATTATATATGTGCATATAAAATGTATATAAGATATAACTAGTCCTCTTTCAATTTTGTCACGCAAGGTCTTATGTGAAAGCGTAATCTATATATGTAAATCTATAATTCAGAAGACACATGCTTTTGGCACATCTGATTTCTGCAAATTCTAATTAAGAAATTAAGACAATTATTTCATATTTTATTTAGCAACTTTCGACATATCGAGCGATGTCGAATACATCAAATGCAATATCAACCAAACTGGTTTTTATCGAGTAAATTATCCGAAGAAGATGTGGATCTCGATCATTAATACTTTGATGAAGAATCACACCAAGTTTAGTCCGGCAGATCGGGCGAGTCTCATCGACGATGCATTTTCGCTTTGCGATGCGGGCGAGGTGGATGCTTCAATCCCATTAGAACTTTCGCTTTACCTTGCCAATGAAAGAGATTATGCGCCATGGGCAACCGTACTTCGATATTTGAACTTTTGGAAAGATAGACTCGCCGAGAGTACAGCATATAAAAAATATATCATATTTTTTAGACAACTGATGGGTCCAATTACAAGATATATTGGTTTGATGGATCAAGGATCTCACTTGGAAAAGTACAGTATATTATTTAAAAAATTTTTCTTTATTTAAAAAATTGTTCTTTAATTGTTAGATATTCACTGACTAACACAACGAACAGGATATTAATCCAAATTTATTTTAATGTAGATTATTGAGAACAGCAGTACTAAAATCCGCTGTTGAATTAGAAATAGACGATGTAGTGACACCTGCAAAAAGACTTTTTGAAGATTGGATATCGAAAGGAATACGCATCGCGCCCAATATACGAAAAATCGTTTATATGGCAGGTAAAGAAAGAATATATTATATTTAATATATAAATTGTTGTTTATCATTATCAATAATATAATATCAATATAATTAAAAAAATAAACGATATTAAAAGGCTACGAGTTTATGTTAAGATGTAAGTTGCTCTTCAATTTTAATTCCTTAACATTTTAATATATTAAGGAATTGAAATATGAAATTATACTTATATTCTGTTTAAATTAAAGAGCAACTTACATCTTAACAATAAACTCGTAGCCTTTTATTTTTTGAAATTTTCAGTTTCAATTGTTTAACATTTTCAATATAATTATATATAGTTCGGTATTTATATCCCTGATAGCAAAATATTGCCAATTTGCGCGCAAATTGGCAGCGAACTCGATCAGATTTTGACTACAAAGCCATAGCCATCTGCGTCTGCATTTGGCTATGAATTTGGCGACAACATTTGTTGACATGTTTTGTAGCAGATTTGTAACAAAAACCGAGCAGAGTCTGCTGACAAATATCTGGTAATACAGACTCTGTCTACAATTTGTTGCCAATCTGCAATCAAAAATTGTCAGCAGACTCTGCTCCAAATCTGTTTCCGCAGGTTTTGTTATCAGGAATAATAGAATATTTTTAAAACCACACATCTTAAATGCCATAACCACATAAACCAATCACAGCAACATTAGCATCTATCTTAAATGTCATAATGCAAATCGATCAGAGCAATAGTCTCGATCCACAATCTTACTTTAAGAGGCCTTAAACCGTAAGTCGAAAAAGGTTAAATGATATTAATTTCTGTTTTTAAACTGCTTTGCACAGTCTTCAGTCTTTAATCGTTAGACTTAAGCGAATTGAGCAAAATCCAATTCTTACGGCCTAAAAGCATAAATTCTCTGATGATCAATATATCACTTACAACTTATGACTTATTACGGCCTCTTAAAGCAAAGTTGTGGATCCAGACATATGGTATCTTAAGATGTTAATTAAGATAATCTTTAAATAAGAACTAATTATAAATACCAGTCTTTTAGAGAAAAACGCGAAGTAAAATAATTTGTAACATTAATATGTTTGTAGGTATCAAGTTCGGAAAAGTGGCTGACTGGCAACATTGCTTTGACGTTTATCTTAAAACACAAATCCAAAGTGAAAAATTATTAATGTTGCAAGCTTTAGGCACGACGATGGATCCTTGGTTACTTAAACGTTATCTTCGATTATCACTGAACCGGACTCTGTTTAAGGCGCAAGAAGTTAATACTGTCATAACGTCCGTTGCTGCCAATCCGCACGGACATTACCTCGCTTGGCGTCACATTAAAGCTTATTGGCCGCAAATAGAAGCACTGTATGTAAACGAATCGCTCTCGATAAGCAATCTCATACTTAGCGTTGTTCCTGACTACTTCATTACGGAATACGATTATCGCGAAGTAAGAGAAAGTCATTTCTTTGAAATTTTAATTTTTTAAAAGTAATTACATTTGATCTTTTTTTTTAAATTATACCATGATGAAAATGTCTTATAATTTTTTTCTAGGTTTCAGAATTCTTCAAGCAGCGCGACGTTCGTAGTGCTAACCGCACTCTGCAACAAAGCTTAGAGATGATAAAATTCAACATTCACTGGATAAAAATAAATGCAAAAAGCGTAAATGATTGGCTTATTACACATTTAGTAAAGATAAATAAAAGTTAACCTTCGGTCGCCAAAAAGAAACTGATCAAAATGAAAAAAAATTTAGTGGTGCATTCAATCGTGATACCATTATGGATAACTTTTCTACAATTCTTCATATATCCTTAAGAAATACGTGATACAAATAAAAAGTGAGATTCTCGATTATTTAAAGAGCTAAAAGAATCTCAAACGTCATCTAGGTATAAATTTATGGATCAAAAGCTAATCATTTTTGTCAGTTTCATTAGGAAGTCGTTTCGGTCAAGCAAATTGAATTTAAAAGATGACAACTTTTGAACGAGTTTAAATCGTTTTTCTTTAGAAAGACACTTATCCTGTATAAAATTTGTTATAATTTGCTTGTCGGAAAGGATTCTCTAATGAGTTTATAAGGGAAAAGCCGAATTGTTTTATATGTAATACATTATACACCGACTTATACACATTTTTGAAAGTATTTATTTAATGTATGCAGTACGTGCCAGTTGAATCATTAAGTATAAAAAAAACATAACGAGAGAGCAAAGACATCATTGTTCTTAGGGTAGTCATTGACATTTGGCAAATAAGAGCTAACGACATACGCCTATTGGCATTGGAAGACCTGGTTCCAGCAATGTAAGATTAATTTTAATCGGTTTAATTTACTGTTTATCTTTTTTCTAATTCTTATAATTAAAAAAAGGTAGTAGTTAAACCGAGATTAAGTTAATCTTACATGGATAAAGTCGGGCTTTAGTCTTTCAAGTTTGCTACATTTTAATATAATAAAAAAAGGTAATCATTTTCATGTGATGTCTAAATCTTAAATTTTTTTAATTGCACTATTTTATCACTACAACATTGCTTTAACAGGGAAAGTCGAGCTTGCGACAAATTTGTCGAAGAAAACGCTGATTATATATTATATTATTCACGTACGTCCTATGCGTAAGTCTGCAACATAGCAGATATTTAGAGATAATAGAATTATCATGACTGTATGAGCAATCGTTCGACACATTTAAGTAGCATATCAGTGTATGACAAAAAGAGACATAATACGCTAAATCTTTCAGGTCTATGCCATAAGCACCATCCAGAGAGATATGGCGGTGTTAGGTGGTTAAAGATAAACTCGATTGCGAGAGCCAACTGGATATATGTCAAATTAATTGTAAAAATCGATGTATATCGTGTGTATTGCATATTCATGTTCACTAAAGGTTCGCTGGAGGCGCAGGACACGTCTTGTATGAGGTTCATTGTTCTCCATGCGAATAGAGAATTGAATATTTTATTATGAGAAAATAAATAAATTTGTGTAATCTATAAACACTTTATATATACAAATGTATGGTGTACATGTATTAATATACGACAATAGGATGGCCTTTATTTTTCGAACACGGAATTTTTTTAGTCTCATAATTCACAACGGTTCCTTTTTATATAAAAAAACAATCTCTGTAAAATTTCAGCTCAATCGAATTACGGTAAAGAGTGTCGAAAGACGATTGATTTTTCATATGTACTGATTTTTAGGATGTGTATTTAAATATAATATAAATCTAATATAAAATATAAATAAATTTAAAGTAAAAATAAACGGTCTATATCGAGCTAAATGAATATAATGTTGTTCTTAAATTTTATAATATAAATAAGAACATAAAACTAACTAAAGTGTCGTACACGTTTCGGAACTCATAGGTCTTTCTTCAGCGATTTTTACAAATGTTTGTGCCGTTGGATTGATAATATTTTCTTATGATATGTGATGATGCGATACAGACATACTGATATAATAATTATAGTTTGAATTGATTTTCCTATCCTCAATGGAAATTGAAAGTGACAGATCTTTGAGGGTTTCTTGGATCTTTTTTTACAATTGAAGATAATAAAATCACTATAGATTGGTTCCATAAAAACCTTTTCAGGCAGATACCTTTTCTTTGTTTTTAACCATCCTATTTCCCACAAAATTGAATCTGTTTGCAATTTAGTAGATACAGAGCAATCCTTCTCTCCTACCCGACTTTTCATTAAAAAAAACATCGAATTACTGAAAAACATACCCCTACAAAATTTTTCTTATTTTACTTCACTGTACTGGTGAGTTTCTCAATTTGTCTTCCTAAACTTTACTAACTATTATTAAAATGATAATGTTTCATTAAATCTTCTATTCATTGCCAAAAAAACCATCGAATTTTTTGTCAAAGTTGAACGAAGATGAAGGAGTTACCACTCTCTGGTTCAGCCATTGAAGACTATATTTAATATTATTACTGTTCAGATCATTGAAGATGGCTTAGAGTGAAGCCGAAACGTCTGAAAAATTATTATAAGTATTAGTTTAATAAAATATTAATTATTAATTCGCACTATATATATAATTACTACAGATTGACTCACATTAGCCCGTTTTTATTCTTAATTTAAAAAATGGTTTTTTTGCGATATTTGACATTTTTTTCATAAAGAAGGTCAACGTTATATTGAAATTTCGATCAGGAGTCATGAATGTATTCTTCATCCCCTAAAAAATGCATTTTTTTAATTTCAATACCTTCACGGAAAAAAAAATATAATTCACATAACCAGAAATATTTTATGTGAGCAATATAGCTATATCATCCTAGTTATCTTTATGTGATAAGAATGTGTATGGTTGATATGATTTATTTACTTTGATGTGTCAACTATCTTAATATAGTTACCGTGATCTGATTGTGACAATCATTTACTACGAATAAGTTATCTATCCGTCAAATATGAACGACTCAGAAGTTGCAATTTAAATTATTCAATTCGATTATCAAGATATCTATAATTAACTTAAACACATAATTCTAAGTATATAATTCTTTGAATTTTTTTAATCGTTAATATTTCATCAAAAATTAATTTATCTAGTCAAATTATATTTTTTCATGTATTTCTTTTACAAGTTAGTACTAATTTCTATTTATAATAAGAAAATGTTTTGTGCGGTGATATTTTTGATAAAAAAATATAATAAGTTTCTACGTCTTTTTATCAAAAATATCACCGCACGAAACATTTCTTTATTATAAATAGAAATTGGTAGTAACTTAACCTATTTTTATATAATAGTTTGGTTCATTTACAATGATCTAAGAGCGGTGATAACTATTAGTCTTTACACCACATCAACATAATTTGTCTAAACTAACCAAATGATCCATTTACCATTAAAAGTATTCGTGGTTGAATGTTCAAGAAACAATCTGGTTGTAGCAATCAGATACCGTCATTACTACATTATAAATCATTCAATCATTGTACTGTGGTTCAAGCACACACACAACCACATAAATATATGTAGTTGCTCCATATTTTACTCTTCAATCTGGTTGGCATTACCAGATTTCTGTAGAGACTAACCAAATTGTTTTTCCATGTTACTTTTTTAGCCATGTTATGAAAGATAGGAGCTACTATTTCGAATATAAGGATTGGTAACGCTAAAATCACTTCAGCGGCATTTATAATCACTAACTACCTGCAATATAATTTGCTTTTCTTTTTCATTTCTAGTTATTTGGATAATGGATTAAAAACATTGAATAAATATTAATTGTAATATAAATGTAAAATATTTATATTATCACATTCTATTTTAAGACCTTTAGATGCCTTTCGGCATTCTTTCCCGTTATCCATTTAAGCTGAAATTTTACAGGAACTATTTTTTCATAAAATGGAACTATTTTATGGGGTGAGAAAAAAAATTTAAAAATAATTTCGACCTAATATAAATAAGAACCACCCTAATACAACAATGTCGTGTTTTTCGAACACTTTGTGAAGATCTAGATGCTGAAGTAAACTGTCAATGCTGGACTTACCTAGGATTTTCTTGTCACAGTTTTTAAGGCATGCGTTTAATTCTAGAAAATTTTGGTTAACAGTGATAAGTCTTAATTTTAAACAGGATGTGTCAATTTTTCAGTGCGAATGACAAATTTTTTTTCGATCGTGTAATTAACTGTTTAGACAATAAATACTAGAAAATAATGAGATAAATTGAAAAGTATTTAATTATCCCTGTGGTGGAAAAACTTTTATAAAAAACTATATAGATTGAGACAAAATTTAAAAAAATTTTAATTATGAGATATTTGTAGTGGGATGTAAAGTGACGCGTTGTTTGTTGGAAAAAGCATAAAAAATTCTTCGGCCTCAAATAATGTCACTCTACGTCCCACTATGAATATCTATGAAAAATTAAGAATTTCTAAAAATAAGATCTTGTCTCAATTTATGCAGTTTTTCTGTACTTTTTCGTAAAAGTTTTTTTCCGCCAAGGATATTATATGTCAATTGTTTTAATAATAATTAAGTTTATGTTCTGGAATGAAATACGTAGGCATCTAATAAAACTGATCACACGGATGTCAAGATCTGCTAAGTGTCTAATAGTTATACAAGGAAAACAAAATTAATGTACAAACATTCATGTGCTCTCCAATTTTACTCCTTAAATATTTCTTAATTCTGTCGATTAATTGTATCCGAAATACGTATGTTCTTGTAAAAATATATTTAAAATTTAAGCACTTGTTTAAATGATACACATTACTTATCGTCACGCTCGTTACACACGACGGTTCTTCGGTATTTCTTGCCACAAATTTCTACTGCCATTTTGTGCTTGCCACCACTAATGCCCACTACCACATGACATTATCTAATACTTATAATTAGTGCTTTTCTTATTGGATCAATAACGGCGTATAATTTGTTTACGTTTATCGCATTTATGTAGTACGTTTCATGAGCGAACTGAGGACACGCACGTAGAAATCTCTACACATAATACGTATACAATTCTCGCACATGGAGAAAAATCTGTAAATAATTGCAGTATGAAATCGTTTTTCATTTTTCCATTTAATAGATTTTGATACATTCGCCAAACGGCGAATTAATGAATCGATGCACAATTAAATATCTTATGTGTAAATAGCATATTTTTTCACTAATGAAAATTTTCTCTTATTAAAAAA